AGAGCTCCTAAATGGGAAGAGATAGCCTCTTTAACAAATGGTGCTGGCAAAATTGGATATCCACTTGCAAAAAAATGACCCATACCTCACCCTCTACACAAAAACAAACTCAAATTGGATCAAAGACTTAAATGTAAAACCCAAAGCCATAAAATTCATCAAAGATAAAATAGAGGCAAGTCTAGGAGCCCTAATTTATGGCACAAATAGACTGTCAAACATTATCCAGATGGCATAGGAGGTAGAAGACAAGCTAGATGACTGAGACCTTTTAAAAATTAAATTCTTATGCGCATTGAAAGACTTCGTCAAAACTGTAAAGAGAGAACCTATAGATTGGGATAAAATATTTGCCTAAGACATATCTGACAAAGGACTTACCTCCAAATCTACAGAAAACTTCAACACCTCAACACCAAAAAAGATCAACAATCCAATTCAAAAATGGGCAAGAGACATGAACAGACGCTTCATTAAAGATAATATGCTGGCATCCAACAAACATATGAGAAATTGCTCATGATCGTTAGTCATTAGAGAGATGCAAATCCAAACAACAGTGAGATGTTATCGCACCCCATCAATAATAGCAAAGTTCAACAGGACAGAAAATAGTGATTTCTGGCGAGGTTGTGGACAGATTGGAACTCTTATACACTACTCGGTGGGAATGTAAAATGGTATAACCATTGTGGCAAATGGCATGTCGTTTCCTTAAGAAACTGAAAATGAAAATACCATTTGGCCCAGCAATTCCAGTACTGAGACTATATCCTTTAGAGGTAAGAGGCAGGACACGAACAGACATATGCACACCTATGTTCATTGCAGCACAATTCACTATAGCAAAGAGATGGAAATCACCTTAATGCCCTTCTGCAGTTGAATGGATAACCGAATTATGATATATTCACACAATGGAATACTATGCTACATTAAAGAACAATGAAGGATACGCGAATCATCTCACATCATGGATGAGCCTTAAGGACATTATGCTGAGCGAAATAAGTCATTTGCAGAAGGATAAATATTGTATCAGCCTGTTACTGTAAAAAAACATGGAGAAGTTTGCTTAAGAAAGTGAACCCACTTTGTAGATTACTGGAGTGGGGAGGGAAGTGGGGGGCATAATTTCAGGCTAGTTGGGGGCCACATGCTGAGTTGAGTAAGGGGAGGGATGGTATGGAAAAAGTCTGTGACCACCATAACACTGGGGAAAAGGAGGACACCAAATTGTATACATAAGATATAGACGACTGAGGCTAACACCAGTATATCCACAATACTGCATTACCATTAACACCAAACATCAGGCTACAGATAAACACATAAACATCTGAAAACACATAAGCAGATGGAGGTCAGTGAACAGGATTATACTCTAGACCAGGGATAGATTCAGCTGAGGCTAATCTTGCACAGATACCAGTGATACAAAATACCTGTAATCCTTACAGAAACAACAGAAGACAGACATAGAGCAATCCCTTACAGACAGCCAGACACTGGGAGAGAGATACAACGGATCTACTGAGTCAAGACCATAGTACTTGGGGACACAAGACTCAATTGGCACAACAAAATACATAAAAATCTTGTTCCACAACCTACATTACTGAGTAATGACTGGGGTCTTAAAAGCTTTCAAGCAGCTGTCTAAGATTCACCTAGTAGTCTCCTATCATCAAAAGTGAAGAAGAGTGCAAAAAACCAAGGGCATTTGGAAGCAGTCAGTCCCAGGACATTATGGACCCTGAGACCAGAGGACTAGATGGGGCCGAGCTACCAATGCCATCCACTCGGGAAATGATCAGAACTGGAGATCCTGGATAGAGTGGGAGGAAAAATGTGGAACAAAATCCAAAAGCACAACAATGACCAGAATTACTGGTCGCATGGAGTGTGGTGGGACCTCCAATACTATGGTCCTGGGATACACTTCAGGTCTGGAGTAAAACTCACTCCCAGGGTTTGGCTCTCAGCAGAATAGTAAATAAGGTGTACATGCAGACCACTCAACCCAGGTGACTCACCCACATACTATATGGAGATGCATCCCTTGGACCAATAGACCACAGGACACCAGAGGGGCAACACTCTCATGGAGGAAATGCAGGACACACAGAAATGCATAACTAAGAAGGGCACAGGAAGAGAGGGTTACTGGGAAGGGAGGGGAGGAGAGTAGGTTAGGGTTGAGGGGTGGTAATTGGGAAGTGAAACCAAATGTGCAGGAAACACTCAATGTAAAACAAACTCTGCTCTGTTTGTGTTCCTGCTTTTAAGTCTTTTGGGTATATTACTAAAAAAAATCCAACAAACTCATTGCCGTTGAATTGGATCTGACTCATAGCGACCACTTCCTGGGTTTCCGAAGCAGTATCACTACAGAAGTAGATTACCAACTTTCCTTGTTAGAAGTGGCTAGTGGGTTTGAACCGCCAGCCTTCTGGTTACCAGTCAAATGTCTTAGGCACTACACTACCAGAGCTCCCATATTACTAAAAGAAGAATTAATAAACTCATATAGTAATTCTGTATTTAACATTTTGCAGAGCCACTAAATTGTTTTCCAATTTCGCTGCACCATTTTACCTTCCCACCAGCAATGGATGAGGTTCCAGTTTCTCCACATCTTTGCCAACAGTTGTTATTTGTGGTAATAGTCATCCTACTAGGTATGAAGTGGTATCTCATTGTGGTTTTGATTTAGGTTTTCCTGATAACTGATGACATTGATCATCTTTTCATGTTCTTATTTGCCACTTATATATCTTCTTTGTAAAATTGTCTATTCAAGACTTTCACTCATTTTTAATTGGATTTTTTTGCTTTTTTGTCATTGAGCTTAGGAATTCTGCATATATTTTGGATATTACATACTTTTCATATATATGATTCTCAAATATTTTCTTCCATTTTGTAGATATCTTCACTTTCTTGATAAAGTCCTTTTGATGCACAAAAAAGTTTCATTTTAATGTAACCAAATTTACCAGTTTTGTCTTGTGTCGCACTTGGTGTTGTATCAGCAAATCCAGTGTCAAAAACTAAGTCTCTTGGCTTATTTGTGTGTGTGTGTGGTTTTTTTTATGAGCTTTATTCTTATATTTAGGTTAACGTTGAACTAATTTTCATATGTGGTATGAAGTATGGCTCCAATTTCATTCATTTGCATGTAGGATCCAGTAGTCCCACCATCATTTGTTGAAGACGCATTCTTAATCCATTGAATGGACTTGGTAGCTGTTAAAAGCCAGCTCAGATATGTGACCTCAGATATGTGGGTTTATTTTTGAACTCTTAATTGTATTTCCTTCTTCTTTATATCTGTTCTTGCACCAGTAAATATCTTTTTTTAAAAAAAATATTTTTAAATTTTATTTTTTTTCCTTCATCCAAGTTGATACATGTCTAGTTATACCACAATGTTTTGATTACTGTAGCTGTATAGTATATTTTGAAATCAGGAAGTATGAACGCTTCCTATACTTTTTAAAAAAAGATTATTTTGGCAATTTTGGGCCCCTTGGAATTCTGTTTGAATCTACCTTTTCCATTTCTGGAAAGCATGTTAAAATTTTGATAGCGGTTATGTTGACTCTATAGATAACTTTGGGCAGTTTTGACATCTTGAAAATTTTAAGTTTTTCAGGCTGTGATCATGGATTGTCTTTCCCATTTATTTAAGGTGTCTTTAATTTCTTTTTGCGGTGTTTTGTAGTTTTCAGTGTATAAGTCTTCTACTTTTCTGATTAAATTTATTTCTAGGTATTTTATTCTTTCAGATACTATTGTAAGTAGAATTGTTTTCTAGATTTTCTTTTCCAGCTTGTTTATTGCTGATGCACAGAAACCCTTGTGGTTTTTGTACATTGATCAAATACCCTGCAACTTTGTTGAATTCCTTTATTATCTCTAATAGTTGCCCCCTCCCTTTGTGGATCCTTTGGATTTTCCAGAATGTAGGATCATGTCATTTGATAATAGAGATATTATTATTATTTTTCCATTTTTTTCCTCTCTCCTGTCCTTTTAAATTGAATAGAGCTACACATACACTGGCAAATTAGAACACAGAAGGCTACATTGTTGCTGGCACTAGAACAACACACAACCAAGTAATGGGAAAATAAATAATTATTTCTTTTTATTATTATTTTGCTATAAATCATAGGTTTAACACATATAATTTTAGTATATATGTAGGCAAAGACAGAAAACATCAGAGAAGAAGTTTTTGATTCTTTTCTCCAGGATTGGCCATGTGATACAAATTCCTATTTTATAATATAATTTTCAAAAAATTCTTAATTTGGAATTTTGGAAATTTAAGTTGAAAAAAGAGAAACATTTTAGGAATGTTAAGAAAAAGAGACAGTGACTCCTATTCTTAAATATTTCTTGCTGATAATTGGTAATTTTAAACTGGGCTCTGGAAAATACTATGTTGGAATTATGCTAGAAAAAAAGTTTTTATCTTTACCCATGAAGACTTCTTTGGTAAACTGAATAGTTTACACCTGAAGAGGTGTTTTGCTTTAATTTGGTTTATAAAAACAGTAGTATTGAACAGTTAACATTTAATATTATTCAATTTCAAAATCCAAGGAATACTATTTTTCCAGTAGGTGTTAGATTACAATGAATATTATCAGCCTTTTAGATTAGTGCTTTGAATTTTGTTTTAGAGATTGCTTTATGTGAGGAACATACCTTTTAGTTTATTGAAGGCAGAGTGAAGTATCTGTACTGCTTTTGGTGGGTTCTATTAGATAATATTTTGACTTAGTACCAATTTATCATTTTCTTTGGGTATACAGTTTTAGATATTGGATCTTGGTTTTGTGTTACTTTGGGATTTTGTGTCAAAATATAAAGGTACAGGTACTTTTACTTAAAATGTCACAATGAATATAATCATAAGAGAAGGGAATAATGGGAATATGCATATTTGTACTTGAATAAAGAATTTTTTATTTCTCTTAATTTTTCAGACAAGTTCTACAGAAATTTTGGAGTATTCATCAGATAGTGGAAAAGACGATGACAGAGAGAATGCCTTGTTCGTTGACTCAGAATCCCCTCAAAAATGCCATGTGGATTTGGGATCAGACACAAGACAGGTTACGGAGAAACTGGAAAAGCCCTGGATAAAACCTACAGAGAGCATTTTGTATACACCTCAGAAACAGATAAATAAGTTTCATAGGACTCCAGAAGATTCAGCAAAAAACAGGAAAGCTATAAGGTTAAATTACGCCTTACATTTTTTTTCCAGTTTTCCTCTTTTCTTTAAAACCAAAATATCTAAAATGTTATTATTACTTGTTTGCTTGAGGAAATATTGGCAGAATAAAATTAAAATTCCAGTAAGCATTTAACAAAGGCATAAAACTTCTGGACTTGATTTATGGAATTATTTATCCAAGTTGTACATTCATTTCACTATTTCAGCCATGAGAAGCTTGCGTGACTACTTTTCATAGTAGAGATTTGTTTGGTTTATTAAGTTTTATTGAATGTCAGTGTTCTAGGTGCTATGTTAGACATTAGAGACAATTAAGTCACAGTTCTTGTTCTCTAGTAACTTATAGCCCAAAGAGAAAAATAGAAATAAATATAGACCATTTTGGATGGTGCATGACTGGACAGTGTTTTGTTCTGTTGTACATAGGGTCGCTATGAATTGGAGCTGACTCAACAGCACTTAGCAACAACAACACACCACTTCACATTACTTTTATGAATATGGTAACAGGCCACGACACCACTTATAAATGCAGAGAAGTATGAGAGAGAAAGCAAATAGTCATGGTGTGCATGTGGAGAAACACAAGAACATGCATGTTACTAGTGTCACTTTTGACGGAAGAAGTGGTAGATGAGAAAGCTGGAGTGTCAGTCAGAGTTTAGATTCTAGAGGACCAAGTAAGAAATGAAAAGGAACATGGAATTTATCATATAGGACAAAGTGTTTCAATCCTGTATAATACGATGACTCTGTTTTAAAAGTAATACAAAACAAAAATCCAATGAGAAATTAGAAGGAAACCCTCTAGGAAGCAGTGCCACAAAAGCAAAAACCAAACCAAAACCAAACACATTGCTGTCGAGTCAGATCCGACTCATAGTGACCCCTCCTTGTGTTTTCAAGGTGATATCTTTAGAAGTAGATTGCCCAACCTTCCTTCTGAGAAGTGGTTGGTGAGTTTGAACTACCAGCAAGTTTCAAGAAAAAAAGATTGTTTCAATAGAAAGAGTAAGCATGGTAATGAAAGCCACAAGTTTTCTAATCAGTGTGTTATGTTACTGTGTCAAGAAAGATGAGGAATGAGAAAAACCCAATTGATTTGGCATTCAGGAAGCATTTCTTAAAGCAATGTTATTGAAATAAAGGACAGTAAAGCTGTTGTAATACCCAAGGACTGCATGAGACATGAGAGGTGGAAGACAGCTCTATAAATCACTCTTTTAAGAAGCTTGGATTAGAAAGTAGGGAGAGAAGGGACAGTTACTGTTAGTAACTTGAAAGGAATCCAGGTCTTAAAGAGTTTTAACAGAAAAGGAAAGACATACTTAGACAGTATGGAGTAGAGACAATGGAGAGAGAGAGGATGGGGATAATTGCTCTGTCAGTGTCCTAGAAAGTCAGGGGTCTGGGAAGAGAGACCCATCCTGAACAAAAGAATTGAAGGATGAGTAGAAAAATGTTGTGATGTCTGGAGTGATTAGGGACAGCAAATTGAGTTAGTTCATGCCTGACCATCATATTTCTTTTCATAAGATAAAAACCAAGGCCTTATTCCCAGAGTGAAGAAGTTGTGACCTCAAAAGCAAAATTGGTGGTTTGTCATAGTCTCTCAGAAATAGGCAAAGGGAAGAGGATTTGAATATCTTGTTGAAGAAATTGATGCCATTCAATTAGAGAAAATGCTGTTCTCTTGAGCATCAAGCAGTATGTCATATCGTGGAGAGACAGTAGTGAACAAAAGTTACTGAAGCCCATACCTACATGGAGGGGAAAGTTGACAGTAAATCAATAAACAGCATAGAATTATTGTCAGAAGGAGGCAAACTTTATGGAGAAAAGGCAGAAAACGAGGATAGAGAAAGGCTAATCCAGAGGTAGGGGAGGATATTCCAGTTTTAAACACAGGTCTCAGGGAAACCTTTTCAAAGGGTGACTGTTATATATTGAATTTCTCCCAAAAATGTTGAATGTGGCCTTATTTGGAAATAGGATCTTTGTATATGTTATCATTTAGCATGAGGTCATGCTTGCGTATGGTAATTCTAATTCGGTCTCAGTGGTGTCCTGAAAGAGAGAAGAGACAAAGAGACAGAGGGAAGACAACCATGTGAAAATGGAGGCAGAGATTGGAATGATGCATCTACAAGCCAAGGAATGCCAAGGATTGCCAGCCATCACTAGAAGCTCACTAAGAAAGAGACATGTAACAGATTCTCCTCAAAACTTCAGAAGAAATCATTGTGACTGATGCTCTCATCTTGGACTCTTGGCCTCCAGAACTGTGAGGAAATAAATTTCTGTTCTTAAAAGGCACCCACTTTGTGGTGCTGTTACACCAGCCCCAAACTCCAAAACTCACTGCCGTTGAGTTGGTTGTGACTCATAGTGACCCCTTCTTGGGATTCTGAAGTGGTATCTCTGGAAGTAGATTGCCCAACCTTCCTTCTAAGGAGTGGTTGGTGGGTTTGAACTGCCAGCCTTCTGGTTAGCAGTCAAATGCCTTAGACACTGTGCCACAAGAGCTTCATAAAAGTCCTAGAAAATGAAAATAGTGATGTATTGAGCAGCTGGAAGAATGGAGTTGCCGTATACTGAGATGAGGCAGGCAAGGGTGCAGGGCATCAGGTGACATTTTTGTTTTTGTTTGCTTTGGTGGGAAAATCTGGAGGCTTTTGAACATGTTGAGTTTGACGTGCCTGTTGTATATCTCTAACCAGAAGGCTGACACTTCAAACAACCAGCTTCTCTGAGGGAGGAAGATGAGATAATCTACTTCCATTAAGATTTATAGTCTTGGAAATCTAGTGGAGTTGCTGTGAGTCAGAATTGACATGATGGCAGTGGTTTTTTATTGTATATCTTAGTGGAATTTGTGTGTGTACTTGATAAGAAAGCCCTGGTGCTACAGGTGTAAATGGGTAGGTGTCAGTGCACAGAAAGTTTTTTAAGCAGGAGTTGCATGTGTTTACAGGTGATCAAGTACACACAAGAGAGTCCCAGGGCCTGAGCCCATGTACTTTGTCTGCAAAGGTTGAGGTGACCGGGAACAGGCCACTGAGGGAGGAAGAAAAGCTGGGGGAGTGTGGTGTTCTGCCAAGTAAAGAAGTGTTTTAAGGAACAGCAAGGGTGATCAATTGTTTCCCATGCTGCAAGGGAAATTAAAATGAGAACTGAAAGTTGGCTGCTGGGTTATCACTAGGGAGATCAGAAGTATGGGAGAAGAAGCAGTTTTAGTGCGGTGATTGGGCAAAGCCACATTGCTATAGGTTTGAAGAAAGAAGGGAAGGAGAGAAATTGAAGATAACAAGTGCAAAAAATGCTTTGTAGGAGTTTTGTGCTAAGGGCATCAGAGAAATGAAATATTAGTTGGAAGGGATAGGGAGAGTTGAGGTTTCCTTTTTTAAGCAGAGAAAAATTGTGGCATGTTTATTTGCTGATGGGAAAGACTCAGTGGAGCAGGAAGAGAGTGGATGGTTGGTGGAGTGCTGTCTTTGACTACAGGAAAAGGGTATCCAGCCAGAGGGAGGAGCCTGGGTCAGAGCCATGCACAGTCCCCCCTTGGAACAGGTGAGCAGGGAAAACAGATGTAGATGCAGGTAGGTATGTATATGTGGTAAGAGGAATGCATGGAAGTTTTATTTCTGACTGATTTTATATTGTCCGTGAAATAGGATATACATTGTCATCTGAGCGTGAGGATGAAGTAGGGAGGTGTTAGAAGTCTGAGGAGAGCACATATGAAATAATCACACAATGAGTGAGTAATGATTGCACTGGAGGAATGTACTGGGATTGGCTGGTGTGAGGTCCTCTTGAGATTATTGTGTGCCACTAAATCATATCTAACATATAGTAACCTTTTAGGACAGCATAGAGCTGCCCTATAAGGTTGAAGGTTGGGTGATCTACTTCCGTAGTGATACTGCCTTGGAAACCCAAGGAGAGGTTGCTATGAGTCGGCCCGACTCGACAGCACATAACAACACAACAACAACAGGCTGTAATCTTTACAAGAGCAGATTGCTTAGTCTTTTCTTCTGCAGAGATGCTAGTGAGTTTGAACCACTGAACTTTCAGTCAGCAACTGAGCACTTAACCATTGTGCCACCAGGGCTCCTTCTCTTGTGATTGGTGTTGTTGTTTGGTGTCTTGGAGTTTATTTTGACTCATTAAGCCAAACTCACTGCCGTTGAGTCAGACCCGACTCTTGGCGACCCCTCCTTGGTTTTCCAAGGCGATATCACTATGGAAGTAGATTACCCAACCTTCCTTCCGAGGAGTAGCTGGTGGGTTTGAACCACCAGCCTTTTGGTTAGCAGTCAAGTACCTTAGGTACTACACCACCAGAGCTCCCCTGTTTTGACTCATTAGTGATCATGGAGCTCTGGTAGCATAGTGCCTAAGGCATTTGACTGCCATCGAGAAGGCTGGCATTTCAAACCCACCAGCCACTCCTTGGAAGGAAGGTTGGGCAATCTACTTCTGTAGTGATACCGCCTCGGAAACCCAAGGAGAGGTCGCTATGAGTCGGATTCGACTTGACGACACATAACAACAACAAAGTGATCATGGATTTAGTTCAGAACCGAACATCAGTGTGGTTGTGCTCCATCCACATTCAACCCTGGAGCTGCAGATAACAGGCAGAGGGTGGGCCTTTGTCAAGTGAGTACATTGAAACGAGTTGACTGGGGTTGGACTGGAGCTTCTGATGCCCCAAGCTAAGCTGGAAACTTGGAATAATAGCCAAGTGCTGCAGATACTCACATGTGGAGAGAAGTGTTCTGTCCTGGTATAGGCATCCTCTTTTTAATGCTTTTTACCTTTCACCTTGTAATTGCTACAGTTTGTGGGATTCTGGAGCTTTACCATAACCAGATACTGCTATCAGATTATATTTTATTATCTAATTTTATCTGTAAAATAATATCATGATAAAACCAACATTTGGCTAAGATTTATCTGGATAGTTGTGTGAAGAATATAGTGGTCTGACT